GAAAATTCAAAAGAAACTCACTGGTCACAGGCAGCCCTCCGTACCTGAGAGAGATACTGATAGCCTTAAACTTAGCCACTTAATGCTCTATATAGTTCATGGGAAATAAGTAGGAAGGAACCCAAAATTAGACATCACTTGGAAAGTGAGCTACATCTCTTCATGTAAGTGTTGCAGTATTGAATTAATCTAATTTCATATACAGTTGTCATGTCCCAAAGATTTTTATGAATTTTGCACATGTACAGGTGTATGTGTATATTTGGCGGGTACGTTCATCAATGATCAAGACAATTGTTGCTGCAAAATTGCAGCCTTATTGGATATCTGTTAATGTGCCTGACACGGAGAATTCATCTCCAGGCAGTGTTGCACTGCTTGCACTTTTGGGAGAGCAAGGGAATTAGACCTTGTGACAGGTTGGAGCAGAACGGTTCTGGGGTAGGTGCTTTGGTGGCTTCTCATCTTTATCCACTTTGTGCCAAGCTGACATTGGACTGCGAAGGACCTGATACAGCATCTGAGCAACAGCAAGGATGAAGAAGGGTTGCTGGAAGTGAACGCTGATGGTTTGCATGTTTGAAATGTTGTATCTCGGCCATGAGAATTTTCAGTGAGAATAAAAACATACTGCAAACCATCAGGGTTTCTTGCCAAATGGGTCATCTTGGTGCAATCCTGTGACTATTCGTTGTAACTGGATTTACTGTGCTTTAATGACTTTCTCTGACTATTTCCTGGCAAAGTGCTGGGATCTGGGGGAGCTGCCCGATTCCATATTTCAAGTATCTAGTGAGTGGTAGCTGAGGAGAAACACTTCCTTGCTTTCTGTGCATGGCACCAGCACAGCCCTTCCACATTGGCAAGGAGAACTTAAGTGCAGTTATTTGCCTTCTAGACAGACTATGAGAGAGGCAGAAGACCTTATGGAAGCAGAAAAAAGTTGGGCTGTGGCCAACAGTGGTAGATGGTGATGGGCTCTGTGGACCAGGAGATGTTGATGCAGAGCCAGCGCATCACGGAACATTTCTCATTTTGTTTACTTTGCACTCCCGATGTCCAGACAAGCCCAGGAGAGTTAGCCCAGTGCCAGCCCCAAACGAATAGACCATGTAGCATTTGTTCAGTTCTGGTCATTACCTAAACTGGAGGTTGGCCAAGTCAGTAGAGTTGACTCTGGCAGCAAGTACAATTTGTGTTTCCCGTTTAGAAGATGGGTTTGAGGAATATGCTCATTTAGTGCTTGAAAATGCATGGCTTTCTGCGAAGTCCTCTGCAAGAAGACTTGGAGTATGTTGATGTAATTCCACACTTTGTCATGTGTTATTTACATACTGTTTGCACCTCGCTGTTCTCTGCATCAGTGCCAGCACCCTGATATTTCTGCAATTTATTTTTATGATCTTGGTGTTGAAACAGCTGTAAAAACAACTAGTGAAAGTGAGCCAGCTGCTGGAATTTCTAATTCTGAGTCTGGTTTGTAGTAGGCAGATTCTGAAAGGGAAGGAGAGATGGAAAACAACAAATAAACTTAATCTCATGACTAAATATAATTCCTCTTAACAAAAACAAGTTAGATGACTGAAATTTTAACTGCTGAGGAGAATTAAATCACTAATAAATAATACAACTATTTTGTAGAGAAAGTGTCCAAGGATATACTACTGCTTTAAGGGAGATCATACACTTGCCTGTGAGGACTTGGGAGCAGTAGGATGTCAAGTCTCCTAGACCTCATTTGTTTTAGTATTGCAGAAATAGTTTAAGCTACACATTTTACCAGACAAAGAGATGTAGATCAGTTAATGTTTTCCCTGGCTAGCTAAAATCCAAATGCTTAGTTTTTACACTGGTGTCAACACCAGTGACATGTGACTTTGTGGAACAAAATGAAAAATAGCCTTTCATCCAAGAAGTTAATTGGTTTTGACTTTGGTATTTAGATTCTTATTTGTGGTCCAAGTGTAATAGGAATGCAGCGTCCTTAACACTGCAGTGATACGCATAATTACTGTATTTAAACTCTTCCTTTGTTCCTGCCTTGAGGCTGGCCCAAGCAGCAGAGATAAACTGATCAGGTTAGCTGAGGCTGAGAGCTGTGAGTTTCTGCAGTTGTACAGCAAGGAGCAGGATGTAGCCTATGGGTAATGATTTTGTTCCTTACTTTTTTTGGTTGTAATAACTTACGTGCTGTTTACAATGACTTATGTGCTGATTACAATGCTTTCCTTAAAATATTTACTAATTCAGTTTCTAGGGATGTGAGTTGGAGGGCTGCTTCTTGGCATCTACTTTGGCCCAGCCAAAAACCAGTAGCATCCAAGAGATTTCTGTTCATATTCAAAAAATGCCAATTATGAGTTGGGTGCATTTCCTTTTGGAGAGAATGGTCTCATATAGCACAGATAAGTCTGTCCTCACTCCTGACACATTTTCACTGCACACAGTGATAAGCAGAGGCAAGGTACAAGTCAGTTTAATAAAGCGTGTCATGTATGGATGAAGTTGGTTCTTGGAGGTTATCTGATGATTGCTTATTGCAAATAATTTCACTTAACCTGTATTCCTGCTCCTGAAGTGCTACGGTAACAAGTGAGAGAGCTTGGGCATCCAGGGATAAAGCTGCAGGGGTTTCAGAGGCTGCTTGGCCGCTGCTTGGTTGCATTCATAGTTAATTATTACAGCGCAAAGTGAATGACAAGTATTACAAGAGCCCAGAGCGCCTTGAAGTGTGAGCACACGTTTATGAACAAGGCACTGAGAAAGCAAGCTCATTTTTCTAGTGGTAGTTGAATATCCACTTGCAGCTCCAGGTTGGAAGGAGGCAAGGTTCAGTTCAGAATCTCAGTGTGACATCTAATACACTCTGCAGTCCTGGAGCTGCAGTTTTCAGTGTACTCTGATGGTACATAACCCTCACAGAAACCCTCTGTCAGTGTGGTCTGAGGGTTTATCAGCTGGTTCGTTCTTGTTAGGATGTAATTGTAACCCAGGCACAAAAAAATCTTTGTCTGCTCTGCTGAGAGCCAGACAGGTTTGTATGTTTTGCAGAGACACTTTGCTCAACTAAATGTAACAGTACTAGTGTTCTGGGTGACTCTAGGTGAACCCTGAAGAGGCAACAGAAAGATTTGCTTGCTTTTTTTCTGCATAGAATACCAAGTGATTTAAGTTTTGATCCTGAAATTTGTACTTTGCAATGAAACTTCTGTGCTTTGTGTTGAGGCCCTTTAACCTCAGTGGCACAGGGCAGTTAAAAGTTTTAATCATGGAGACTGGATTCAAGGATCCAGCCCAAAGCAGGGACGTGACAACAGACTGTGTACGGGTATTAAAAGCAAAAGGTGTAAATGCACAGCAAAGATGACTGCTGAAGAAGTTGTTACAAAGGAAGATAACTGTGAACGGTAGGAAGAAAGGAACAAAATTAAAAATGGGCTGAAAAACACTCCTGACTGGAATCTATCGATCTATTTATTTATTCTTGTTTGATTATATTGCAATTTATTTTACAATGATGTAACACTACCCAGACAAAGTACTTGTATTAATTGTCAGAGGAACGGTCTCGTCTATCAAATGAATGTGCATCTCCGTTTCTAATCTACGTTAAGAGCTGAGCACATACCTTTGCAATGCTGATGTCTGTTAACTATGTTCAGTAACAGGACTGTTGCTGTATAGAGGACTGGAGCCGGGGTGCCAGGCTTGGACTCACCAAACTACTTTGCCAAAGTTGGAACAAGAAGCTTTGATCTAGATATTCTTAATCAGAGATATCTCCTGTCTGCCATGTCTAGAATATTTTATTCTTTTCCCACCCTGATGTTTAGAAACAATACATTACCTATGAAGTTGTCTTTCCCAGGCCCTAACAGCTGTGCAAGTTCCTGACTAGGCAGGAAAAGCTGCCAGTGGTAGTCTAGAAAGAAGAGAAACTTGTTGTTATTCAAGCACTTACAGACAGTGCAATTTCGCTGTTAATTTTCCACACTGCTGTGTTTGTGGTTATAGTCACATTTTATTCTGTTTAGATATATGCTATTTGGCACATGTAGGTCTCGTTTTGACTTGTATTTCAACTGAAAGTATCAGAACTTGCAACTCAAATCCTGAGTTTGTTGCAGTCTAGACTTAATAGGGGATCAGGAGGAGCCTTTTGATCAGGAAGGTTAAGCAAATGACTGCATGATTGTATGTACAAAATCCATCACGAAGATTTGTGACTGTCCAGAGTTGGTTAAAAAGTATGGTTTTAACGAGGCCGAAAAGCCACGCGAAACTTTGTCAAGTTTGATTCCACACTTCAGCTCTGATTTTGACATATTTCTTGTGCCTTGCGCCAAAATTCTGTGTGATTTGGAAAGTGTCTGTAATAAGTGTGGCTGAACACACACCCACTTCAGTCAGGGGTTTGCTTGTATGAGAGGATATGGAGCTATTCTTGTATTTACTTTCACCATTCCATTAAATGGACTTTAGTAAAACAAAACAAAACAAAAAGCCTGCTTGTCTGGTGGGGTATATTAAGCTCTGCAGAAGCAGAGGCTTGTTTAGTATTCCCTGAAAGCCCCAAGCCCATCAGAGAATATTAAATGGGGAGGTCCAGTAGTGAGAGGCATACTGCTTTCCGTAGTCTGAAGATATACTATAAATTCATTCCTTGTTACTGCCTGTAATCCAGCAGAACTCACCTCAAGAAACAGCTGGTGCCTTCCTCAGTGCCAGTTAAAATATCTTACACTGTACTTGAACAAATCTTTTGCCTCTTCCTGCTTTTTAGCAACTCAGTTCATGATTAGTATTGTCTTTTATAGGCAGGTAATATTCTCTCAGCTGATGGGGTGAGAATAAGTGGTGAATGCTTTTCTAGCACACTTTTGTAGTTGGGGTGTTTCTTTTCTAGCTGTGTTGAAAGAGCAAGTTACTGCCTGGATAATAATCTAATTATTTTACCTTTTCCTCTTGTTTTCTCAACAGGAGAGTTGCCCAGTCCTGGTATGGAAGAACACAACGGCTCTGCAGAGGGTCCCCTGCCAAGCCAAGGGCGGCACAGTGCCATTAAGTGTGGGTGGCTGCGGAAGCAAGGGGGCTTCGTCAAGACCTGGCACACACGCTGGTTTGTTCTCAAGGGTGACCAGCTTTACTATTTCAAAGATGAAGACGAAACCAAGCCCTTGGTAAGTGAAAGAAGGAAACGAGATGGGAGGTGAGGGAGGAAAATAAGTTATTGCAAGCAGAATTGTCTGGTGTTTAAAGAACCAACCTTTCAGTCTCTGTCATTGACTCATTATAACTTGGGATTTTGATTACAGTGAACACAAAACTGTGTCAGGCCTTGGCAGTTAGTGTGGTTTCCCCATCAGGCTGGTTTCTAAAGCTTCCTTTTCCAGGTCAGGTTTTCTCATTGCAGCATTTTAAAGGGAGTGAAGTATACATGAAGTTCAAGTAGCAAAAGTCAGTTAGATGGGCTCGAGGCAGATGAATAAGCTGTATTTGAAAAGGCACTGCTTATTTTTCTGCTGTTTAAAATGTGGAGTATCCCTGCTTTGTGTCTTCCCAAAAAGGAAATCCCATAAGAACGTAGCCTGAATACATTGCCATCTGTAATGGGGAACAGACTGCTGTCTGCTGCCTGGTTCTGTTGTGGTGATTTGCTGCTCCTTAATGCTCATCCATTTTCCTATTTATTTAGCTTTTTCACCAGCATGCTTTAGGGCCACCTATCTCTAGAGTGCCATAAGAGTAAATAATGCCGCCTCTCAGATCAGGGCAGGCGTGAGCCTATGTGGTTGTAAGTTAAGAGAGACCTTGTGCTAGCACCTACAGGAGTATGATAATCCTCTGTGTTAATCATTTCCTAGACTCTTGTGACTTCAGGAAAAGCTCTGACATCTGTGAGTTACCTCTCTGCAGATATAAACATATAAACACACTCATTTTTTATGCCTACTAAATTTTTGATGGTGTACCTTTATGTGTAATTTCACTGGGAGCTCTTGGAGATGTAAAGCCTATGTAATCTAGCTTCCTGTATGGAACAGGTCATGACACTTTGTCAAGCTTTACAGCTTGCCTTATGGTGCACGTGTTAAGAAAACTGTTCAGTCTTGAGGTACTTGTTCCCAAAGAAGGTTCTCATATGAGTTAATATTTAAGTACCAATTTCACAGCCTTGGTAGCTGTTTGCCCTTAAAATTATCCTATGTAGTATAGGTTAATTAAATAACACACTGCATATTTACAAATTATATGTTAGTATGACTACTTTGAATATGAAATAGCTAATAATTTCTGGAAAATCGAATGTATCTTTCATTATATATAGTTAATGAAGAGTGTAAAAAGCAGCCATCAAAATAAAAATGTTTATGGGCCACAGCCTGGGTTTCCAGAATACAACTCTGCTTCCTTGCACTTGACATCTGCCCGTATGTTTGCATGCAAGGACTTCATTTCTTTTTGAGAGGTGACACAATGCTGTATTTTATGGAGCTTTGTACAGCACAATGGAGCCCAAATTATGATCTTGTCTTGTAATAATCTTATCATCAAATTATCATTATTATCAGTCTGCAACTGACCTGTGGGATGACTTCAGAAGATCCTATTGACTTTGCTGCTTCCCTTTTGTGAAGTGGAGGTGGTGATTCTGATCTTCTGATACCTTTGATAGGTTAGGTAGCTGTTGATTAAATAACTAAAAGTTTGAATTTTCCACTTAAGTCTCAAGTAAGTTCATAAGGACACCTACACAAAGTGCGGGGGGAGAAGTACCAAGAGAAGTGTAACTGAAAATATGCCATTAGGTTTGGGAAATGAATCATAGAACCATAGAATGGTTTAGGTTGGAAAGGACCTTGAAGATCATCGAGTTCCAACCCCCCTGCAGGAACCCCTCCCACTAGACCACGTTGCTCAAAGCCCCATCCAACCTGGCCTTAAACACCTCCAGGGATGGGGCCTCAACAACTTCTCTGGGCAACCTGTTCTAGTGCCTCACCACCCTCACAGGGAAAAATTTCTTCCTAATGTTTAATCTAAACCTGCCCTCTTCCTGTTTAAAGCTATTACCCTTCGTCCTATTACTACACGCACTTGTAAAAAGTCCGTCTGCAGCTTTCTTGTAGGCACCCTTTACATACTGGAAGGCTGCAATAAGGTGTCCCCAGAGCCACCTCTCCTCCAGGCTGAGCAAACCCAACTCTCTCAGCCTGTCTTCATAGGAGATGTGCTCCAACCCTCTGATCAGCTTTGTGGCTCTTCTCTGGACCTGCTCCAACAGGTCCATGCCCTTCTTATGTTGGGGGCCCCAGAGCTAGATGCAGTACTCCAGGTGGGGGTCTCACGAGAGCACAGTAGAGGGGCAGGGTCACCTCCCTTGACCTGCTGACCACGCTTCTTTTGGTGCAGCCCAGGATGCGGTTGGCCTTCTGGGCTGTGAGTGCACATCCTCAGCCCATATTGAGCTTCTCATCCACCAGCACCCTCAAGTCCTTCTCCTCAGGGCTGCTCTCAGTCCGTTCTCCACCCAGCCTGTATTTGTGCTGGGGATTGCCACAACCCACATGCAGGACCTTGCCCTTGGCCTTGTTGAACTTCATGAGGTTGGCATGGGCCCACCTCTCCAGCCTGTCCAGGTCCCTCTGGATGGCATCCCTCCCCTCCCGCGTATCTACCTTGCCACACAGCTTGGTGTCATTGGCAAACTTGCTGAGGGTGCATTCGACCCCACTGTCCACGTCACCAACAAAGATGTTAAACAGCACAGGTCCCAGTACTGACCCCTGAGGAACGCCACTCTTAACAGGTCTCCACTTGGACATCGAGCCGTTGACTGTAACTCTTTGAGTGCGACCTTCCACCCAGTTCTTTATCCATCAAGTGGTCCGTCTGTTGAATCCATGTCTCTCCAGTTTAGCGACCAGGATATCGTGTGGGTCAGTGTCAAACGCTTTGCACAAGTCCAGGTAGATGACATCAGTTGCTCTTCCCTTGTCCACTGCTCCTGTAACCCTGAATGGGCCTGTCCAAATTAGGATCAGTTAATATTTCACCTTGGTATAGCTTTGGAGTGTTTCTGAAGCAAACTGCATAAGTATCAGTTCCTGAAATATGTCCCAGGGTCAATGCCATGTACAGAAATTGTTTTTTCCCATTTAACTACATTGAAGGGTTTGCTGCATTAACTTTGACTTGAAAATTGCTATGACCTTCTGGGAACCCTGTTGTTCTTGCTGTGGAGAGCTAAAGCAAAGAACCCCACTGATACCATGGATTTTCAGTGCATCATTAGGAAATGGTGAGCAGTATTTTGTTATATTATTATATTAGCTATGTAGTATTTGATCTGTAGGATAAATACCTGTTTATTCAGTACTGGATTGTACAGTCTGTACAATGTACAATTGTATGTACAATTGTACAACAATTCTTTTAGACAATAATATAATGGAAAAGAGTTAATGAGTTTTTTTTTTCCAAATCAGATTGTAGTTTTTACTTTGCTTACTGGTTGATTGTGTTTGGAAGGAGGCAGGAAGCGGTGATTCCTCATATTGAGGGATGCTCTAACTGCACACCTTGTGTATATTTATTTATAGAAGGTGGGAGAACTATAGCAGGAGAGGACAAGACAAGCCAGTGGATTTATGTTCATAGCCTTCATGCAGATTAGAGAAAAGCAGAATCCAGTTTCTGGTGTGAATTCAGCAGGTGGTCCTGACCACCTGTCTGCTTAACATTTGGGCTTGGGTTCTGACCAGTCTGTGCCAGAAATTATGCCATGATGTTTGTGTTTTTGAAAGGGATGGAGATGCACATGGAAGTGAATTTCAGAAAAATACTATCTGTCAGACTTTATTCTACAACTGACTGTGTATAATGGGAGTAAAGGTAACAAATACCATCTTGTGTCTAAACCATCAGTAAATGCTTTGGAATTCCTGAAGCATGTCCATTCCCTGCTAGTAATATAGGTAGCTACCACATACGCTTTAGTCAATATGTGTACATCTCCTTGGTGTCAGACTATTAAATTTAAAAGTCATTAACTATCAGCGTGAATGTGGGGAAATATTGCTGCCTGTGTCAGATGCCTACAGGCACACAGAGCTAGTGAAGAACAACAGAAGAAAAAGCAGTACACAGCTGTTAGTCTTTTAGTCAAGGTCAGTGAATTCTCATTGATTCTTATCATAATCAAACATAAGAATCTTTCCCTTGTAATGTTTTATCAGTAAGAATAGCAGCTATCTTTTGCTCTGATATCATTGAAATGTCTCTGGGGTTCTGGCAAAGATGGCATTTTTGTTTACTGAAGAGGTGGGTGTGGATAGCAATGATCTAGTTAATTTCAGAAGAAAAAAAACCTAACAGATAAGTGAGCAAGCCATGGGAAGAAATAAAATCTCATTTCTGATAATTCTGTGTAATTTTTACTTCTTGGAAGTGATACTGTATTTTGCCTTGTTAATTCTTTTTACTGTCTTGGTAAGTCACCTTATTCCTGACAGCCCATTGTGCTTTAGAAAGCTGGTATTATGCTAGATCTGAAGGTCAGCTATCCAAGCTTGAAAAGTGCACAGCTGAAAGAAATCAGCATTAAGCATTCCCTGTTTCACAGTACAGCTGTTGTTCAAATGCAGCCCATGAAAATGTATTTCTTGCTTTCTTCTTTGCCTATGGTTAACTGCTCCAGCTGTGTCTGGGTTGGCATGGTCTTAACTGAAGATGGGAGGAGGAAGTCAGTGTCTTTTCAGTGAGACAGCGTGCTTTTTCTGTGGTTTTTTGAGCAGCAGGGGGGAACTTCCAAGTATCATCTGCTTGTTGCAGCTTTGCTGTTGCAGTCTCTTGGTGTTACTGAGGAAGCGAATTTGTGGGAGCAAAGCTAGGGAACCTGTACTGATGGAGCAGCATTGATACGAGGTTATAAATGAACAAGAATGGGCAAGTTCATCCAGTCAGAACAGTGTTTTAGGCTTAGGCATTTATTCAATGTTGTTGCCATTCAACTTGGTTTAGGGACTTGAATTTGAGGTGTGTAGAGAGACCTTACAGAACTATGAACTAGCCTTCAAGAAATACTTGTTGGTGTATGCCTGAAAGCAGATGATGATCTGCTATGTCAGTTTATATCCCATCCTGAACATTTTGGCACACAGTTTTTAGCCTCTAGATC